TGTTGGTACATCAGTGCCAATCCATGTAGGATTTTGAAAGCTGACACCCAGCACTTTGAATTGCATTTGGGAGCTAATAGGGACTCTTTTACTGATAAAATAAATCAAAGGAAAAGATTACCAAATATTACTATTCTCCAATAGGTGTATGTGTTCATGTGAGTATTGAACATTCATATTGTTCTTTGGCAGAATATAGAAATCAACTAAACCAGGGGTGTCAAACTGCTGGCCCAAGGGCAGGACACGTCACCAGGAAACCGTGCCAGCAATGGGAAAAAAGCTCCAATACGTCACGCAACGTCATGTAACATCACAAGTTTGACATGTCTGAACTAAACTAATGAGAATTACCTTAAGTTTCTCTAATTTGGCAAAATAAGCCAAAAGGAATGAGGGCTCTCAGGATGCTATTTTTGCATAACAGCTGTTCTAAGAACACAACAGGTGAAATCACTTCCCAAATGTGTAGCACAACATAGAAGAGCAAACCCTCAGGACAAGATTCAGAAGTCCATCTGCATTTGAAAGACAAAGATCACTCTTTTGAAGACAGCAAAGGCCACATCTTGGATAGAGAGGATCACTGGTTTGAAAGAGTGATAAAAGAGACCATTTATGTTACAATGAGCAGCCCTCTCTCAAGAGAGGGAGAAGGATAAGACACCACCTATCTCCCATCTACAATGCAGCTTTTGCTGCGGTTCCAAGAAAGATTCCATTCCCATTTGCACTCTGACACAGGTGACCTTGAGGGCACAGATAAACCCCCAAGTGACCTCAAGAGCTCTTAGGGAAAGTGCTAACAACCAGATGACTGCAAAGAAATATGATCCTTTCAACCGGTCCCCCCCCCCACACACATCCTGTCAGAATGAATGCTTCTATTACTCCCACCATCCTCCTGCCAGAACTGATGAAGCTTCTTGGATGAAAAGCTAAACGTCTTTTTCCTCAAGGAAAAAACAGTCCAGCTGCCTTTTGAAAAAGCAGCTTTGAGACAACTATGATCTGGATGACTGAGAATCTCCACAAACATACAGATGTGCTGAGACATTTCAACTTTTCTTATTAGCACAATAATCCATTCTGGAAAGGGATAGGTAGCTGCAGGCAAGCCAATGTTATGAATAACCATATAGTATTGTTTGCCTTGCATTGTGTAGGAATGTTGTGTCTTACTAAGGTGAAACTTAGATCACAGAAGAATCAAACAAGCATCTGTTTGATTCTATCTGTTTGAATTATTTTGTTGAAACAAAGTAAGAGAAAAAAAATATATTAGGAGGAAGGATGCATGAGTATAAAGCAAACATGTGCTTACTTTGGGAATACCAATTGACCACGATGGTGCAAGTGGGAGTTAGAGGAAATTAATTTAAGAAGAAAGAAAAAAAATCAAAGGCAAAACTTCCTTCCAGTCCTACTGTACCTGACCACATGGAAGAAACCACATTTAAGAGTCCAAGCATCTCTCTCTCTTCTTAAGTTTTACCAGAACCCCTCCCCCAATAAGGAGCAGAAGCAATGGAAAGCAAAAGATTAGTCACTATTACTTTATGTCATCCACTTAGACAGAGAAAAAGAACAGGAAAGTTATGGCAATTGTGTTTAAGGAGAAATGGATTATTATTTGAACTATGTGACAAAATATTGTAAGACCGTGATATATTTTTCAGTAAGCCATATCATTTAACATGCTGTTAAATGTTTCTTTCTATTTAACATACAGAAACACATAGAAATCCTTAGCAAAGTCAGAGGTTGAACCTTGGAAAGGCTGCAGCAAGTATGAAGAACCTAACCCTAGCCTCACTGACATCATGGGAATTTCTTCTCAAAGCAATATTTCAGATGAAGGCTTTTTCCTCAGTATTGGAAGGCTGTTTTTCCACAGATGCTGTAATTCTAATTACTCAATCCCTAACTAGTTGATGCAATTTATTTATAATAAAAAAACAGTGCATAGCCAGGGGATAAAAGAAGACAAAGAAAAGTCTCTTTGAAATTTCCTTTCTTCCCTCCCTTCCTTATATTTGGAGCAATCAGTTGTTAAGGAAGTCCTCCCCAAATGTATGACCTTCTTTCCCATGGTTGTTAAGCAAATAATTGCAGTTATTAAATGAATCACATGATGATTAAACAAATGTGGCTGCACTCATTGACTTCGTTTGTTGGAAGATCACAAGTAATGATCATATGACCCTGGGAAGCTGCAACTATTATAACTATGTGCCAATTGTCAAGCACCCAAATTTTGATCATGTGACTGTAGGGATGCCATGACCGTTGTAAGTCCGAGGGCCGGACTTACTTCTTCAATGCCATTCTAATTTTGAATGATCACTAAATGAATGGCTGTTAAGTTGCAAACTACCTGTAGAAGCCTCAATGCATGTAATATCACATCTATTTTAACTGTTTTATTTTTCTTAAACAATGACGTACAGTAATATCATTCAATACTTTTTCCCTTGTCTTTGAGTGTCTCTTTTATCATATTATCATTTCATCCATCTAGTTAATCCTAGTCCATTTCTTTTCCATGTAGTCTCTCCTCTATCTTTAAATCACAAACTTAAATGATATTTCTTATCAATTTCTGCATAGATCAATTCAAAGATACTCTCTGGGAAGTAGTGGAAGACACATGAGACAACATAAGCATATTGTATCATAACAGTGAGCTTAGAAATATGTACCTATACTGAAGTGAAAACTAAACATTGAGGAATAACAATAACATATTTAACAGTTTAGTATAGCTCGTGCAGTAAAATCTAAAATATTGCTAACAGTTTCAATATTAATATTGTATTGTACACTAAATTTATATATATTATAGGATAAATGTGTTTGAATATACAGTATATTTTCCATAGTACTGAATGTAGAATTAATGGGTGAAAACAAGCAGTAAAAATCGCATTTTGAAACCCTGTTCGGACTTGTTCAGTTCCCTGGAGCAGATATATTCTTTTTGATGCATGGCAGAATAAAGAGATACTCTGATAAAACAATGTCTAAGAGATGGAAATCTGTTTTTTTCTTCATGTGGAATAGTATAATTCTCCTGTATGATAACAGGGTACACAGCATAGGGATTGTTGCACGTTAACACTAGCTAATAATCCTTGGTATCTATTAGTGAACAGATGGTCTTTAGAAAAGAGTTTACATGTTCAAAGCACTAATGCACTGAAGTCTCAGCTAATACCAGGATATATCCTGATTTGGGGGGCATTTTAATTCAGCTTTCATGGGTGTGCTATGATCTCATGATTCAGTGATCAAAATTACATTGGCTTCATAGACTAAAATTGCACCCTAGGCAACAAAAACAGGCACATTTAAATAATCTATGTCAAGAATTAGCATTTTACAGTTATTATATGCTTCAGAACAACTTGTCTTTCCCTGAATTATATATTACTGAAGCACTTTCCTACGTTCCTAAAGATTATGGATTCTAGGTACTGCTGTTAGAAGATTAATATTTTGCAGGGATCTAAGAGTTCTTTCCCATGATAGTACTGCTTTGGATCTTGGAGATATGCTATAATTAAAAAGGTTCATGTAATGGGTCTCTCTTGATATCCCATGTCTTTGGGAAAAAACTAGAGTTGGGTGATTGAGCATAACTTTTATATAGAAAGGCTTGTAGTTTACATTTTGGTATCTTGTAGTAGGTCTTAGTACAACTTCAGTCAAAAGCCATGAAAAGCTGCTGCTAAGCATTTCCTTCCATTTTTCGCCTAGTCAGGAAAGATTCAGGAAATATTTGCTAGATAATTATATTCAGCACTTGACTTCTATGATTTACAAATGCAGACTAGCATTCATCTTAGACTGAGAACTTATATTCATAATAAAATGTAACAATATTAATATTAATAATGACCAGCACTAGCATTGCTACACAGTAGTGTGCAGCAACCAGCATCTGACATTATCCAATGTGAAGTGATCAGTACTTCATTTCAGGAGTATGCAACCAGTCTGATTATTTAACATCTGATCTTCCAAAAGCATTTAGCAAAATTTATATTAACTTCATGTATTCATTCATTCAATCAAGCGAATTACTATGGTCTTTTTTTAACCTTCTGAATTTGGAATATAAAGAAAAATGTCATATTAAAATCCAAGTTCAACTTTGGAAAATTTATTTTGCTTTGAAATAGACAGAGATTTATACCAACATACAAATTTAAGTGTCTATCAACACTTTCATAAATACTGTAAAATATCAAGTTATTTAAATTCAAGTTTTTTGTATTTCTAATACAATAAATTTTAATTTAAATCCAGATTTCAATGAATGGCCTTATACAGCTTCCCATATCTCAGCTTCTATTTGCAGTGATATTATAATGTGTTAACCAAATTCTTATAGCTTACTAACATCAAATATTATATACTATAGGCAAGCTCAGGCGTTGTCCTTATAGAAATACCAACAGTTAGAATAACTGGGTTTCCTCCCCAGTGCATAACATGGGTGGAGGGATTTGGATGAAGCTCATCCCTTTTTCCTCAACTCTGTGTGCTTACTTCTACATCATAGTTACCTTATATGAATGGAAACTTTTTCTTAAGCATCAGTGCAGCTGAAAATGGTACCCTCTTCTGGCCTGCATTAACATACTATTGCTTCTGATCCAACAATTCTGAGTTCTGGAGGAATAGTTAAGATGAGTTGGGCGGGGGGAGAAACTGCAAGAATGTTGGATAAATAAATAAATATGTGAATGTGTGAGAAAGACAGCAAGGGGGGAAGGAAGCTAAATAGTCTTCTGGGTACACTTATTTTTAATCCAGAAACTACTGTAAAATAGTTCAGAAAAAGTTATCCTACTAAGGTATCCCTGGGGAAACATTATCTATTATATCAGGTATAACGCTGTGAGATGAATACAGTACCATCCATTTTTGCTTAGTCCTGTCAGTTGATGAAGAGGACAGAGACTAAAGAAAGCCTCCTGAATATCAGTTCTTACCTTTGTGGTCCACAATTTGACAGTCCAATCAAATGATGATGTAACAAACAGATGAGAGAAATCAATTGGACCCACTGCCATGTGGCAGTTGATTCCTGTTACTGGGCCCTGGTGAGCTTCAAAAACTTCTCCAATTCCTGCTTTACTGTAGAAAAAACAATACATTCATTTAGGAAACCTTCATAGTTTTTCTCATTGAAAATGCTATGATATAAACATTCCATTTTCAAAATCAGCAAGACTAAAATCACCTGTTCTTGCTAAGAAGTTGGGTAACAGCTAAAGGTTTTAGTGTATATCAGCGGTTCTCAATCTGTGAGTCGCGACCCCATTTGGGGTCGAACGACCATTTCACGGGGGTCGCCAAACAACACAGTCACCATTTTTTCCCCTTTTCCTTAGCTGTGCTACTCCCTCTTATTCTATTGGCTTTTGAAAGCCAATAGAATAGACTCTATTCAAGAGACTCTATTCTATTGGCGTTTGAAAGCCAATAGAATCTATTGGATTTCGAAAGCCAATAGAATAGACTCTCTTGAATAGAGTCTAATTCTATTGGTTTTCAAAAGCCAATAGGAATTGTCCAGGCTGTCTCTGCCCTGCTGAGTCCGCCAAAAGCCCCAATCTGCAAACGGTCCTGCAAGTTGTCTGCAGCTAAGGCGAGCTTTCTGGATGTTTCCACCCCTCCCTGCTGAGCAACTACTAAATGTAAGTAAAAGAGGGCCAGGGGTGGGAGGTAGGCCGGCGGGCACAGGTAGGGTTGCTGGTGTGCGTGGGGCCCAGCGGGTGGCTTATCTCCCTTGGGCTGGGCCAGCTGGTGGCCCAGCTGGTGGTCGCCCTGTGCCCTTGCTGCTGCATGTCATGGCCGCCCAGGAGCGCCTGGGCCTGCCTGCCTCCACACCGAATGTGCAGTGACCAAAGTAAGGCTAGCAGGGCAGCGGCAGGTGCAGGGAGGGTTGCTGGCGTGCGTGGGGCCCAGCGGGTGCCTTTACCTCCCTTGGGCTGGGTCAGCTGGTGGCCCAGCCGGTGGTCGGCCTACGCCATCGCTGCCGCTTGTCAGCTACACCTCGGCCGGTGCAGGGAGCAGCACCACATGCGCGGCACTCCCGGCCGAGGCAGTTGCTGGGCGACAGCCCATGTGCAGCCACAGGAGAGGAGGTGGAGTGTGCGTGCCTCCTCCTGCCCCACCCACAGAGAAATGCAGGTAGTCCTCAACTTATGACCACATGGTTGGGGTCGCGGCATTAGGAAGGTTGAGAACCACTGGTGTATACTGGGCCTGAGATACATTCATAAAAGCTCTGGTTTCCTTTTTTGAATAGTATATTATGGCTTTTTCAGCTTGACTGCCTGAAAAAGTCATAAAATATATTATTGTCTGGACTGTATGTCTAGTGTCTGGACATATATATCATTCAAGTGCAGAAGAACCACCATCTTATTGCACTGCTAAAATTTCTATAAATAAGTCTGCAGCTATTTAATAAAATATACAGAACATCCCAAATAGCAGACTTTTTGTGATTAAAAAGAACAGCTAATGATTGTAAGAAAATTAAGAAAGTTCTAAAAAAGGAATAGTTCATGAGCATATTTCACTTACGAACTAAAACTTATTATTTGCTAGTCATCTTTGGAAACTTTATTTTAAAAAGCAGTATATAGGTTTTATTGATATATATACAGCATATAGGTTTTACTGATATACTGATCATCTGGTATATTTCTCTTCCCAACACAAACAGCAGTTATGGAGATAAGCAAGACTTTCAAAATTTCATAAGAACAAATTCAGCCAGTATAATGAATGGTTTTGTAGCACTTTAAAAACAAATCATTGAGAACCAATTCATATTAGTGGTTTTGAGCCAGTTACTCTCTCAGCCCAACCCACCTCACAGGGTTGTTGTGGGAAAAATAGAAGGAGGAAGACATGTTGAATATATTTGCTGAAATGAGTTATTTATAAGAATAATAAAAGTGATATGATACATAGAATGATAGGTATGTAGGTAGATAGATAGATAGATAGATAGATAGATAGATAGATAGATAGATAGATAGATAGATAGATAGATAGATATGGTAAATAAATGGGAGAGAGAGAGAAAACGTAAAGTCAGAATTATTTAAAAAACTGCCTGAAGGCATTAATACTGGAAGACCTGCTTGATCTTCAGCCATTTTACCACACTTCACATTGTAAGCTACAAAATGCCATAAGCACAATTATATAGCCAAAAAAAGGGGGTGGGTGGATAGGAGAAAGGGTACCTTCCATGGCGACAAGCTGTGTAGACAGTGCCTTCTTCACTTCCAACTACAAAGTTGTTAACATCTCCAGTTGGGAAAGCCATTCCAGTAACTGCCACTGGCTTGGATTTATTATATACTAGTTCCATACTCTCCTAAAATAGGTTAGAAACATTTTTTTTCAATTGGTTGTCTCTTGAGCACAGTAAGGTTGGAACAAGAGAAGGAAGTAATGAAACTCCTCCAGCTGGAAGAATCTACCTGCAGATTCCTAAGGACCTAATAATATTAAAAAGTATTGCTTTCCTCTAGGAAGCCTAGAGGAAAGGATGAAGTAAGTCTTTTTCTTTACTTCCAAAAATTCTCTGCAGATCATTCGTTTATGCTACTAATTTTATTTGTTTCTTGCTTCAGTATTGAGGTTTAGTGGTGAGGAAAATGGAATGGAATCTCTATGGTTCTGAGGAAATCATAGTTTTTCTCCCTTCTACCTACAAAAATCTTCTTACAGTAGAGGTGACACTAATTATCAAAGTAAATTGCAGCCTCATTTAAATCTCTGAAACAGCATTTAAATCTATGTTGCTAATATAATAATCTCCATTTGTGATGTTCTTGCACCCAAAATCTTACTTTGGGAATTCACAATTCCCTTCATGTTTATCTTATGTGTAGCTCCTGAGCCTTTGCCTATAGGTATAAGAAACTGCATCATCCCCGTATAGGATTACCTCTTTAACATGGAAATGATCCATTAGTTCCCTAGTTGGAAGGGAACAGCCAATTTTACTATCTAATCTAACTAATCTTAAGCATAGGCCTAATCTAATCACCCATTGACTCTCAGGTCATTTACAAAAGGTAGTAACTCTTTCACAGTAAAATAGGCTTCTATAGGATTTTGCGCAGTAGCACAGCAGCTGAGGGCTCTGCACCCTATGGCCAATTTCTGCCTGTTAGGGGAACCTAACTGGGCCTGAAGTCACCCCAGAGAGGCAACAAAGAAGGAAGAAAGCTGACTGCGGAGAAATGGCAGTTGATCCGGTTGTTTGGGGAAAGCTCTCCAGAAACCAGCAGGAGAAAGATTAGGCTTAACTCCAGAGTCTAGCCCAAGCTACAATCAGCCGAAGCCCAAAAGCACTATTTTAAACTGACTGTAAACAACATTCTTGGAACTACCATATTTTCCGGCATATAAGACAACTTTCTAAACCATGCAAATCTTCTCCAAAGTCGGGAGTCGTCTTAAACACCCATTCGTCTTATATGCCGGAAAATGCCATATTTTCCAGCATATAAGACGACTTTCTAACCATGCAAATCTTCTCCAAAGTCGGGGGTCATCTTATATGCCCAGTTGTTTTATACGCCAGAAAATACGGTAGGTAAGAACATTGATTTTCTCTCTCCTACTTGATAATTGATTTCCTGGGGGAAAAAAAATCCAATTAGCAAAAAGCCTCTGAAAGTGAGAAGGAGCAGGATCTTTGCTACACCCTCCTACAGACGGAAGCAGTGAATTAAACTTTTTATGGGGGACAGAAATATACTGAAATGAAATGAATATAAGATCTAAAACTGGATAAGTTTAAAATTGGTGGAATCTGTTAAGATTTTCTTTTTAAATCATGAAAACAGAAGACAGCAATTGTTTATTTTGAAAACTGAAAAACAATTTGTTGCTGACATCTAGTAGTGGATAAAAATATACAATAGTAGTTGCTCCAATACAGGAACTGCCAAAGCCCAGAAAAAGATAACTTGTCTTTGTGACCTTCAATGCCTTAATAACAGAGAACAGCTGTGACAAAAAAAAAAAAAAAACATTTTGGCCTACCTACAAAGTGAGAATTACAAACTTTAGAAAAAAAATTAACCTTTCTAAATTATAAATACTTACTCAAATGTGATTCTAAAGCTGTTTGCAGAGAAAGGAAAACCCTGATTTTTGGCTATCATGGAAAACCAGAGATCTGCAGAAAGAATACATCAAGAAAAAACAAACACTTTCCAGGAGGAGATGTATGCTATATTGCAACTAATTCAAACAACAACAATCTTAAACCATGAGGAAATTAAAAATAACTTTGAAAATAATAATAATAATAATAATAATAATAATAATAATAATAATAATAATAATAATAATAATAATAATAGTAAGTCAATTCCAAAAGGCGGCCTTAAAAGGAACTGCTTCCATCCTGCGACGATATCTGTAATACCATCAAACATCCACATCTACCTATCCCAGGTCCTGGGTAACGACTCAATAGGTAGAAAAAAATGCCAAATCCAGTCTGAACATCTGGCTGCCTGTGCGATGATCCATAATAATAAAGTTGGAAGGGACCGTGAAGGTCATCTAGTCCAACCCCCTGCTCAGGCAGGAAACCTATACCATTTCTGACAAATGGCTGTCCAGTTTCTTCTTAAAAACTTTCAGTGTGGGAGCATTCACCACTTCTGGAGGCAGGTTGTTCCACTGGTTAATTGTTCTAACTGTCAGGAAGTTTCTCCTTAGTTCTAGATTGCTTCTCTCTTTGGTTAGTTTCCAACCGTTGCTTCTTGTCCTGCCTTCAGGCGCTTTGGAAAATAGCTTGACTCCATCTTCTTTGTGGCAGCCTCTGAGATATTGGAACACTGCTATCATGTCCCCCCTCATCATTCTCTTCGTTAAACTAGACATACAGCAACCGTTCCTCATATGTTTTAGCCTCCAGTCCCCTAATCATCTTTGTTGCTCTTCTCTGTACTCTTTCTAGAGTTTCAATATCTTTTTTACATCGTGGTGACCAAAACTGGATGCAGTATTCCAAGTGTGGCCTTACCAAGGCATTGTAAAGTGGTATTAATACTTCACGTGATCTTGATTCTATTCCTCTGTTAATGCAGCCCAGCACTGTGTTGGCTTTTTTGGCAGCTGCAGCACACTGCTGGCTCATATTTAAATGATTGTCCACTAGGACTCCAAGATCCCTCTCACAGTTACTACTATTGAGCAAGGTACCCCATATACTATACCTGTACATTTGGTTTTTCTTGCCTAAATGTAGAACCTTGCTTTTTTCACCATTGAATTTCATTTTGTTAGATAGCGCCCAGTGTTCAAGTCTTTCCAGATCCTCCTATATCCTAATCCTGTCTTCTGGAGTGTTGGCTATTCCTGCCAGCTTGGTGTCATCTGCAAATTTGATGAGTTCCCCATCTATCCCCTTGTCCAAATCATTAATGAAGATGTTGAAGAGCATTGGACCCAGAACAGAGCCCTGGGGCACCCCACTACACACTTCCCTCCATGTAGATGCAGTTCCATTGAGGATCACACACTGAATACGGCCAGTCAGCCAGCTATGGATCCATCTGGTGGTGATGTTGTGTAACCCGCATTTTTCTATCTTATCAAGTAGTAGGTTGTCGTCTACTTTGTCAAATTACTGAAGTCCAAGTAAATTATATCCACAGCATTCCTCTGGTCCACTAATTTTGTCACTTGGTCAAAGAATGAAATAAGATTTGTCTGGCATGATCTGTTTTTGGCAAACCCATGTTGGCTTTTAGTAATGACTTGGTTTGCCTGTAGGTGTTCGCTGATTCGTTGTTTATCTTTTCCAGAATCTTCCCAGGTATTGAGGTCAGGTTGAAAGGTCTGTAATTTCCTGTGTCCTTTCCCCCCCTTTTTTGAAGATGGGAACTACATCAGCTCTTTTCCAGTCCTCTGGTAGTTCCCCAGTGCTCCAGGATCTTTGAAAAATATAGTTCAGTGGTTCTGAGATCACATCTGCCAGTTCCTTGAAAACCTTGGGGTGCAATCCATCTGGTCCTGGTGATTTGAACTCATCTAGGCTGGACAGGTGTTCACTTACCATTTTCTTGCCTATCTTAACTTGTATTTTTATTTTGTTTTTTTATGGCACTATTTTTGATAGGTTGGTTTGTTTTTTCCCTTTGTGTAAAGACAGATGCGAAAAATGAGTTAAATAGTTCTGCTTTCTCCCTGTTGCTTGTCACCTTCTTGCCACTTTCACCCACTAATGGATCAATTGTTTCCTTCACTTTTTTTTTGTTTTTTACATGTTGAAAGAAACTTTTTTTTGTTATTTTTGACTTTGGTTGCAAGCCTTAGTTCATTTTGAGCCTTGGCTTTCCTCACTTTGTCTTTGCAGGCTCAGACTATTTGCTGATATTCTGACTTTCCACTTTCTATACTTGTCCTTTTTATCTTTCAATTGATCAGAGAGTTCTTTATGCAACCATGCTGGTTTCTTTTGAGAGCTGTTATTTTTCCTCTTTGTTGGTATTGTGCTAGACTGGGCCTTTATTACATCTCCAATTTAACTTTACAAAAAAAAACCTCTCAGAAAATAAAAATAGAGATTGAGCAGATAAAACAGACAACTGAATATAAACCAGAGGAAAGAGATTTAAAGATAGAACCTAACAATAGAAGGAAGTATAACTTAACCCAGGTGGAAAAAAATTGCAGGAAATACTGGATATGGAAAAGATAACTTATACTCTAAGATCACAAAATAAGTCTGAGGGCAAGAAAGAAGACTTGACAAAATGGATTACAGAGTTGTCAGGAGAGCTACAAAAACTTGAGAGACAAAAAATGATAAGAGAAATTAAGAGAGAAAGAAAGGAAAAGATCTTCAATGAATACGAAGGGGCAAAATGTTTCCATAAAAACATCTTACTTGATTTGCCTTTTATACCTACAATAATATTTATAAGACTATGGGAAGAGTCTGATTCAGTGGAGCATATCGATCAAGAAAGATGTTTGGCAAAAAAAAAAAGGCTAAAGTGAGAATTAATAAATTAGATGATTGGATTTATCGGAGCGAATAAATTTAAATTAAATTAATTTAAAAATTAAACATCTTGTTGGAATATTCATGAACAGGAAGAGTCATGTGGTAACTCAGTCAGCCAATGTGAAGAAAGTGCTACTGAGTCTGTGCAAAAAGAGTATTGAGTTAGGAGCTGGATTTCCAGTCTCTGGGTTTGTCTCTGGTCTGTCTCTGTAAGAAGTCTTCATTAAGCTATGTTGCTGTAAAGAAGAATGGTATTGTAAATATTTTTATATAAATATAAAGTTATTTGAATCAGCTAAATGCAGTCAACTGTGAGATGACTGGTGATTTATTTTTCACCAATAGAGAAATTAAAATTCTCTAACAGGTTATGGGCCCAGAGCTTACTAAGGACTGCATTGTAATTTAAAGCTGGAAGAAATTGCCTGTATTTAGAAAGTAAAAGAACAAGGCAGAATTAGCAGAATGGCTGCAATGGAATTTAAGGAAAGCTGTGTGCCTCGTTTGGGCCAGAAGAATTACATTGTGTGGGCTGCTAAAATGGAATGTTTGCTCAAAGCTAAAGAGCTGTGGTACATTGTAGAAAATCCACCACAAGTGTTTGCAGCAGTTGATCAGAAAAGTCATGATATAAAGTTATTTGAATCAGCTAAATGCAGTCAACTGTGAGAGCTTCTGATTTATTTTTCACCAATAGAGAAATTAAAATTCTCTAACACATCTGTTTGAATATGGTTAAAGAAATAGAAAGATTTCTATTAACCAAAGAATTTTAGTTTAAGAGCGATGAGCCCCTTAAGTAACATAGTATTTTTTCTCTTTTTTTTTCTTTTGTTTTTTGACATGAGATATATAAAAATGTTGGGATGGTTTATATACAGGAAATGTTTTAGAACAGTGATGGTGAACCTTTTAAAAACCGAGTGCCCCAAAACTGCCCCCCACCCCACCACCCTGGCCTGACCCAGCTCTGCCCCCCATCCTCCGCCCTGCCTGCCCACAGGACCACTCACTGCCTCCAGGGCCCACCATAGATTGCCCAGGCAGCCCAGTAGTGCTATGGCAGCCAAACCCTCTGCCTGTGCCCTGCAGCATCAACTGCATGATGGGGTGTGAGGGCAGACTCTTGTCTACGCTGCCTGGCTGCCATGTCCTTGGTTGTGCGGCTCCATGTGGGCCATGCTCGAGGGTGATTCTCCTTCAGGGGGGCTGCTGGAGAGGAGGGGGCCATGGGGGGAGGCAAGCTGGGGCAATGGCATGTGTGCCCACAGAGAGGGCTCCGAGTGCCGCCTCTGGCACCCGTGCCATAGGTTCGCCACCACTGTTTTAGAAATTTAAGTGTAATTGATCTTGAGAAAATTTAAATGGATAAAAATGTTTTGAATACATCTACAAGATTAGATAATTGGATTTATTAAATGAAATATTTAAAGATTAAACATTTGTTTGAATATGGTTAAAAAGAAGAGAAAAATTCTGGTTATAAATGTACATTAGCCTAAGGGAGACATGTATTTTAAGTAGTACACTATCTTCTTATTTCTTTTTCTTCTTTTTTTTAAGATATGAGAAATGTAAAAGTGTTGGGATGGTCTGTATGAGGAAAAAGATTTAATTAATATTTAAGTGTAATGAACTTTGAGCAAATTTTAACCGGTAAGAATATTTTGAACAAATTTAAATAAGAATTTTGTAAACAGGATCTATGATGAGGCAATCAAGATGATCAGTTAGAAAAGAAGCTTTATATTGATGTGGTTATTATTTGCAGAAATATTAGAATAATGTCTATATTTAATTGTTATTTATCAAAATAATAAGAATTGTATCAATTTAAGGTTGGCAAAAGAGAATATTATTGGAAGAAGAGAAAATCAAGCAAAGCTACTATGTGGATTATAGAATTGTAGAAACTAATTTTTATTGGCTGTTTTTAAATATAAACCCAAACAATACATTGTTTACCAAATATTAAGGTGATTATGTTAAAAAAATCAATAAAATATATTTTTTAAAAATAGGCATCTATAATTTTCTTTATACATTAACTTAGAAATTTTGATATCTTTGGGATCACTTTCCCTCTATGTTCTGAAATCCCTAGACATAAATGTGACTCTCCTGGTGACTGGACTCCTGTAAGTAAGCCTATCAGACTCCCCAAATCTTCTAATTTCTCCTTTACCTTTTCCCATTCTACCCAATCTTTCCTCTCAGTATCCCCCCAAAGCTGCTCTTCTCTCTCTTTTTTAATTAAAGTTTTTCCTCTTGCTGTTGCTTCAACATTCCTTTAATAATATTGGTCTAATTACCCTAACCTAGTCCCTTTTTGAATGTGCAGTTTTTCAGAAGGATGAAGAAAGGCATTCTCCTAGATCTGACTTAAGAAAAATTTGGTTCAAGAGGTAAAAGCACTGGAATTTGGGAAGTGACAATGTCATCTTGAGATTCCAGACACTGCTTAAAGAGAAATGCACCATAGTTATACATGCAGATAAGCTAAAAGAAGATCCAGTTTCAACAAGGGAGAAAATCTAAGGTACTTAACTGAATATATAAGTCATAATTTGAAATATCTACTGGACCCAATTTATAAGCTGCTGATGAAGTCTAACTGAGAAATGGAAAAAGTTAAAGCTATACTGAAAGTACAGATGTAGCACAATCATTCAGAAATATTACAGAAGAATAAGAGACAATGGTTTTAAATTATAAGGAAGTAGACTTCCTTGTACACTTTGGCTGGATAGAAAAAATGTTTTTATATGTCAGCCTTTTGAGACAGTCCAGACCAAATAATGTCCAAGAAATGCCATATTACCTTTACTGTAAGCTTACAGCAACAGAATCATACAAGTCTGAAATAACTTCTTCCCTTCCTTCCTTTTACTCTCCCAAATACCTAGTTAGATAATTGCCCAATTCTTTCCAATCCCTACAGTCGAGGAGTATACTCAGTCTATAACTATAATATGTATTATATTATTCTTCTCTTTCCTAAGCAAAACCCCTAAGCAAAGTTTCCTATTTTGTAGTTTTTGCTAGAGCTGGCACTGCTCATCTCTTTAATTTTTATCTATTTCTTAAGTTCTGTTTCAATATTGTACTAAATGCACCACTTTACTGAGTATATTTTCTGACTTTCAAATGGAATACATACATACATACACACACAAAACACAGAGAGAGAGAGAAAGGGGAGAGAGAGAGAGAGAGAGAGAGAGAGAGAGAGAGAGAGAGAGAGAGAGAAACTCATAAAACTGCAATGTAGTCTAAAATGTTCTAGAGAACAAAAGTTTCCACTCCAGCAAGAAAACATTCCACACTCTCTCACCCCTCTCATGTGAATGATAAAAGATCTATCCATTTCATCATCCCACCAATTGGTGCTCTACTCACTGACTAATGCCTTTGAATGCAGCCCAGTTTTTTTTTTTTTTTTAAAAAAATAGTACTTATCCCTAGGCACTACATGAACCTAATTCAATATGAGAGACAAACGTAAACCTATCCACTCTGTCTGTCTTAGATTTCTCTGTTCTTCATTAGTTCAATAAATTTGTGTAGCTTGTTCATTTTTGGTATCAGAGTTAGAGAGAATAAATTTTTTAAAGTAATGGACTATTTTACAAAGGAGGAGGAATTGTTTTCTTTCTATGATTTATGTTATTTTCATCTAAAGAATAAATCTTCAGCCTTGGCTATATATAAATTGAATGAACATGTGGATTCTGTTTCACAACATTTGTTAATAAGTTTCCAGACAACTTTTCTTAAATTTAGAGATAAACAATTATTCCAAAGCAACTATATCGCAAACGTTACTATTGTTGTTTTCCAAACTGGCAAATGCTGGTCCTATAAATTCTCCCCCCCTCTCCATTTAATACTCATCAGACTCTCAAATTCCTTATGCTGGCTCATATTTTGTTAGTTTTCAGATTGGGGAAGATTGCCTAACAATAATATTTAAGAATAAGAGAAACATATTTGTCTAATTTTTGTTATGAGTTCTTTGTTTATAACAATTTCTGGATTCAAATAAAAATTTACATCTTTACTATATGCTACATTACAATGAAATCTACACTGGATAAATAGCATTGTGAAATAAGCATGATATACCGCAATGTGCATGATTACCTGTATTTTAGAACAGATTACTTCATTTTTCACTTGAAACTGACCTGCATATTAACGCATTACTCTAATTACATGATTTGAGACAGAGGAAATGGGTTTTGGCTCTAAGAGAAGGCAATTGCTGGAAGCAAGCTGCACTCTTTAAAGTACATCCATGGGTTTTAGTCTGCATAGGATGTGAGGCTTTAGCTTTTACGAATGACATTCCACTAATAGGTATCAGCCATTTCTTTCTTTTTGTGTAAATAAAAACAAACCCACCTGTGGAGTTGAAAGCATATCCAAACTCCAAGAACACATTTTGCCATCTGTAGAAACGGTAATGAGATTGTGAGCGTTCTGTGTTCCAACGACATTTACACAGTAGACCGGGTGCTGAAAACACACAAAATACCAAAAAATATCTGAAGGTGCAGATTAAATGTTTTATTAAATGTTTTATATGTTCAGAGGTTACTTGCAAGGGAAATTAGATGGTCATTCAAGGCCTGAGTCTTCTCCTTTTGACAAATATGAATGCCAAAATATGATGACCCTGTAAGAGATTCAAAAGTTTGCTTTCTCTCTGCTCCCTTTTGTTATGTTGTCATACTCTAAATGAAATGATTATTACTGTGAAAATAGAGCATTACATAGAAGCATAAATTATACAGGTAGTCCTTGATTTACGACCACAATTAAGCCCAAAATTTCTGTTGGTAAGACATTTATTAAATATGTTTGTCCCATTTTATGATCTTTCTTGCCACAGTTGTTAAGTGAATTACTGCAGTTATTAAGTTAGTAACATGATTGTTAAGTGAATCTTGCTTCTCCATTGACTTTGCTTATATCCTTTCAATGTGTCTTAGTTTTCTCTCTTCCTCCCACTTTCATTTATCAATCTCTGCTGCCCTTTCTTTAAAATATTTATTTACTAATATGTACACTGGAACTCCATAGAGGAAGAATACTATAGATAGTTTTATGGAGATATCAAATACCTCATCTGCTTTAAATCTTCTTCTTCCAGAATTTTTTTTCAAAAATTGACTACTGAAATTTATTGATTTATATGCCACCCACCTTCCAAGAATCCAGACGGTTTATATTAACATTTAAGAACACATTTGCATGTAATATTTTCATAGTGATTTGAGAAGAACTTCATATACCTACATATATTTCTCTCCACCCCTATTCCTGAAGAAATAAACTTAGCAAGCTTTAGGAACCATAAACACCACATAAGAATTATAATTCAGTTAGTATGTGTGCACATGCATGCAAACCAAACTTCTTGATTCTGAGGCTCTAAGTTTTGAACTACTTTTCAATATGTCTAAATATATCTCCATTTGCCTCTTACTCATTTGTCTGAGAGAAGCAGCCTTTCACATCTACTCTGTAAGAAATAACCCAAACCTAAGTCATTTCATATAAAAGTTTACTGGACATTTGCCCTCCTCACTATGGTGCTCATAGAAGCTGGTAATATAGCCTCCAAAACTGGGAACTGCAAGGATGAAAGAGGCTAAAGTTCAGATAGGTGGGGCAACATTCAGTAGCATGAAAATGGATTCCCATTTTCCTCACAGCATATTGTTGGGCAAAGCCTGGCTTTAATAAGCACTGTCAGCTATCAATTTCATAAGCAATAAATCTCACTGCAGATTGAAAAGGATGTTTCTAATACCAAGTATGAGGCAGGGAAAAACTGGGGAGATGGAAACAACAACTCTACTTTTCAGAGAGAATCTCTGAGTTCTTTCCTGTCCTAGAAGAGGGTGCCATTTTGCTTTTATTTATTTTGGAAATGAAATCATCATCCCAGAGATTTCATTTAAACAATAATAATTAAAATTTCCTGTTATCTTCGGTACAGATGTGCAGTGGGTGTGAAAGAAAATTAAGGAGTAATATGTCGTATAGTTCTTTTCTTCTGAATCTTAGCATCAAATTACAGGAATAAGCTCGGGAAATTTAGAAACCAGTAGCTGGTGGCAACAAATTATGTATGTTCCAGTTTGCATCAGGGAGAAATTCTTTTAGTACAGGGTCCCCCACCTATGGTCCGTGGCCCGAGACCGGGCCATGGGCTCTTAGCCAGTGGGCCATGTGCATTTCCCACCCCACTCATGCTAGTGCCCGCATCCCTGTTTGCACATGCATGCTGGCATGAACAGGGATGCTAATACAAGGGAGGCAGCCCATTTGCACATGCACCGCTAGCTCAGGTAGTTTATGCAGCACATTTACACATGTGGAACGGGCTGCTAGCTGCTGTGGGAGGTGCGCAGCCATTCCTGCATGCGCACGGCACCAGCGCATGCTGCATGTGCGAATGGGGCTGCTAGTGCCACACCAGTGTGCATGACCTTGTGCGTACACGTGCTCACACCAATTCTGAAGCTGCTGTCCTTCCCTCCAATCCTTGAGTCCGGAAAGGTTGGAGACCTCTGTTCTAATACATCTAGTTCTAGTTCTAGTTCTATCTCTATGGTGACTGGGGAATTCTGGGAGCTGAAGTTCACACATCTTCAAATTTCTGAGACTGAGAAATACTGGAATAAGTGGTACATGGCTCAGTAGTAATAGCTGTGAGAGAAATCTAGATGTCCTAGTACAGGGCTTTTCAACTGGTGGTACGCATACTTTGGCACCATCCTAGACAAGTGTAGTGGGGAAGAGAATGAGCTGCAGTGGCAGGAGCACTGCACAAGCCTGAGGGACAGATAGCTGGATCTGCAGGGCTGTCAGGGCTCAGCAGAAACCCCAGGATCAATGCCAGGGTCCAGCTGATTGGCGCTTCTGGAAGCAGCACATAGCTGGAAGTGCACCGAAGAGAAAAGGAGAAGGTGGAGAGAGGAAAGGATATAAAAGGAGGTTTTGGCAGGAAAGGGTGACAAAAAAGACAACAGGAGAATATAAAAGGAGGAGGTTTTGGCAGGAGAGGGAGAGGAAAATGAAGATAATGGGGTAAAAATGCAGCCTTGAGGAGAGGAATCAGCTGGAGGTGCTTCGAAGAGAAAAGGAGGAGGGGTGCAAAGAGGAGAAGATATAATAGGAGGTGATTTTAGTGGGAGAGAGGAAAAAAGACAACAAGGAAAGAGAAGGGGATGGAGAAGAAGCAGAGCCCAGCAGGCTGGGAGGAAAAAGAGAGAGGGGAAGAAGGGCCAACCAGCCAGCTGACTACCAAGGTACTGGGGCATATTAATAAAAATGGATACATTCATCATAATATTTATCAATGCAAAGGGAAAATAATTCAGCAAAGGAACTGCCATTGAAGAAATTAAAACAGGTACATTTTATCTTTTTATGGTTTATAACATTTTATTAGATTATAGAATAAAATACAAAAGCAAATAGTAGGACACAGTGGGAAGGAAAAAGGGAAAAAAAGTGAGGGAGAGAAAGGAAAAAGAAAAGAAAAGGCACTGACTTCCGACTTCCTCTGTTGCAGTAGAATGAAGCATTAACATCGAACCTCAACTTTTTACTTTTCCATAACAGTATAAACTAGCCATTTTTGTAACAACAAAGGAATCTAATCATAAAGTGACCAACCGTCCTCCTTTTGGGAGGACAGTCCTCCTTTTCTGAGTTCTGTCCTCCCTCAAAAAGTGTCCTCCTAAATGTCCTCCTTTTCCATATACCGTCCTCCTTTTGGGAGGACAGTCCTCATTTTGTGAGTTCTGTCCTCCCTCGAAAATGTCCTCCTAAATGTCCTCTTTTTCTATATTTGAAGACTTATCTGCAGGGCTTTTTTTCCCTCATAAAATGCCCAGAAGGCATTCTGGGACCTTTTTTGATGGTTTTTTTTCAACTTTTGCCTGAACTGTGCTACTCCCCCTATTGGCTTTCGAAAGCCAATAGGAATTGCTGCTGAGCGCGCCAAAATACCCAGGCGGCAAACTTTGCACATGCAAGTTGCAGGAACTTTGCACCCCTCACTGCTACCCAACTACACCATCTCTTACTTAGTTCCACAGATAGCTGGAGGAGACTGGAGTGGTAAATTTCTCTTGATCTTCCTTGTTCGGTTCTACAAGGGGATGCACAGGGTAGGTGGTGGTGCTGGGGGGTGGCTGCAGGGCCGGAGCCAGTGCGGCTGGTGCTTTGCGAGCCACGGGGTCGGCTCTACGGGGATGCGCAGGGTGGGCAGTGGTGCTGGGGGGACAGCTGCAGGGCCGGAGCTGGCGCAGCTTGTGCTTTGCCTTTGTGAGCCGTGGGGCCAGCTCTACGGGGATGCGCAGGGTAGGCGGTGGTGCTGGGGAGTGGCTCAGGGCCGGAGCTGGCTCGGCTGGTGCTTTGCGAGCCGTGGGGCCGGCTCTCCACGGCAGGGCAGCGGTGCTGGTGGGGCGGCTGTGGGCAGGGGCACGGCAGGCAGTTGACCTTCCATGGGGTGCGCCAGCTGGTGGTCTACGCAGTACTGACCTGCGCTGCCATCACCTCATCCTGCGTATCTACGTGGCCATCCTGGAGCGCCTGGCTCACAACACCTGCCTCCGCCACCCACCCCCGCGCAGTCCAGCCGTGTAGATTTTTGGACAAGTGAGAAATCGAGATTGAATGTTGATGCTCTAGCTGCAGCACTTGCCGTAAAATTCAATATGAAGGATATTTCTTGTTCAGATATTTCCAATATATTGTTAGAAGATGATACATTGACAAAAAATATTCATTCAATGGAAAAGTACTCATTTAATTATTTAATAGGCATGTAAGCATAATTACAATATAAAATGTTATTGTTACAAATGTTTTTTATTATGCATTGATCATATTATAGTGTATTCTGTATTATTGTTGCAATAAATACAATGTTTCTTTTATTTTTTCTTCAATTTATTCGTGTCCTCCTTTTTGTTGTAAAAAAGTTGGTCACCTTACTAATCAGTAAAACTCAAAATCTGCCCCCCCCCCTTTTTTTAAATCAAGTTTTTGACACCTTGCTAAGCATTGGCGGTACTGAATATTGTCTTGTCCTAAAAGTGGTACAATCTGTGAAAAGGTTGGACATCACTTAAGTACAGTATGAGCCAGCAATGAACTGCAGCTGCCAAAAAGGCAATGCAGGCCTAGAATGCATCCAGAGCCATGGTGGCATAGTAGTTTGAAAGCAGTATTGCAGGCTAATTCTGCTGACTGCCATAAATTCAATCCTGACCATCTCAAGATTGACTCAGCCTTCTATCCTTCTGAGCTCAGCAAAATGACAACCCAGATTATTGAGGTAATATGCTGACTCTGTAAACAGCTTGGAGAGGTCTGTAAAGCACTATGAAGTCCAAGTCCTATTTGAGGAACAGATATAAACAAAATATTATGATTGGAATTGGTAAATTAATATAACTCTTGAATGTGCATTGCTCAATTCATTGCAAAAATATTGGAATAAATGTTTTTGATAAATGGTCTTGTATTAACTGTTGAAAATTGTGTGTGTGTGTGTGTGTGTGTGTAAATGTTATATTTTTTGGATTAGGACTTTCAGATTCAAGTTCAACATAAATATTGCAAAGATGTTTACTTAATAGCTTCATATTAGTTTTCACATGTTCCAAACCTGGTTACTTTCAATTCCCTTAAATAAGATCCAGACTGGGTATTTACATAAACTAATCATGTAACTGCATTCAAAGCACAATCTTAGCAGCTATTTATTCTTTACTGAAGTGATGTAATTTTATTACTTAATGCAATTATCAGGTAGATGAACACTACTTTCATTTTAAAAGCACCATAAGAAAGACATGATTTTCTTCAAGTCCTTTATCATTTTCTACCCTGCTGGACAGTTTGTGGTGGGGAAAGAAACAGCATGAGAGAAGGGCCTGTATTTCATCCACTCTCCATTATATTAAAAGAGAAAGGTTTAAATGCATAGTCTATTGAGCCTTTCCCCAGTGTCCTTACAATTGCATTTCATTTTTAAGGGGGGAAGGAGGGTAATAGAAAAAGGAGATAACCAATCATGTCATAATGTATAGTGAATAACTGATATCTTGCAATAAATTAATTATTCCACCACAAATAGCAGTGTTCCAATATCTCAGGAGCTGCCACGAAGAAGAGGGAGTCAGGCTATTCTCCAAAGCACCTGAGGGCAGGACAAGAAGCAACAGATGGAAACTAATCAAGGAAAGAAGCAACCTAGAACTAAGGAGAAACTTCCTGAGAGTTAGAACAATTAACCAATGGAACAACCTGCCTCTAGAAGCGGTGAATGCTCCAACACTGGAAGTTTTAAAGAAAAGACTAGACAGCCATTTGTCCGAAATGGTGTAGGGCAGCAGTTCTCAACCTGTGGGTCACAACCCCTTTGGGGGTCAAACGACCCTTTCACAGGGGTCGCTTTAAGACCATCGGAAACACATATTTATGATGGTCTTAGGAACCGAGATACTGCTCCTCTATCCATCTCCAGGCAGCAGGTCCGTCCATGCTGGCACCCAGGCCGGGGTCTGGTGGGGTTGGGCACCGAGGCCGGTGTTGGCGGAGGAGGAGAGGTGGGCCATGTGGAGTGAGGCGTGGGGCAGGAGGGCAGCGAGGAGGTGGGTCCTGCAGCTCCTGCTGCTGCTGAGGCGGCCGATCATGATGCAGAAGCGCCATGGCATGGAGCGGCGCGACTGAGGGCAGGCGGGCAGGCCGAGGGGGAGGCACGGCCCTCCGCATGATGAAATTGCAGGTGGTGCCACTTTGCCAACTTTGCCTCGGCTGGCACAGGGGGCAGTGCCATGCTTGCGTGGCGCTCTTGGGCCGAGGCAATTGCTGGGCGATGGCCTGCATGCACCCTCAGCCTGCCTGGCGCACGCTCCAGCCGCAGGAGAGGAGGCAGAGCGTGTCCACCAGAGAGAGAAAAAGAAAAAGTGTGTGTGTGAGAGAATGAGAGTGAGCAAACCTCACCCCTCCTCCTGCCCCCACCCACAGGAGTCGCGGCATTAGGAAGGTTGAGAACCATGGTGTAGGGTTTCCTGCTTGAACAGGGGGTTGGAGTCGATGACCTCCAAGTTCCCTTCCAACTTTATTACTACTACTACTACTATTATTATTATTGTTATTGTTATTATTATTAAATTTGCCTTAGGTATTTAATCATACTATAACCAAGATCTTTACATTGCTTTTTAAAAGCAATCTGTATCCATTACTCCTACCTCTCCATTAAATTAAAAAATATATCATCACACCAATGAAATGAGTCAACTATACCAATTATATAATTACATTGCTTGTTTGTATGATGTTATTACGCAAATAACAAATCATGACAGTATTTGATCCATTAATTCAACTGAGTTTTGGAAAACTGAAATTTCTCTGTACAGGTAGTTCTTGACATATGGCTAGAATTTCCATTACTAAGCAAGGCAGTTGTGAAGTGAATTGTTCCTAATTTTACAACCTTTTCTACCACAGTTATTAAGTGAATCACTGCAGTTGTTAATTGAGTCACATGGTTGTTAAGCAAAACTGACTTCCCCCATTGACTTTGTTTGTCAGAAACTAGCTGGGAAGGTCACAAATGGTAATTATGTGACCCAGGATGTTGCAATGTAAATATATGCTGGTTACCGAACTCCTGAATTTTGATTACATGATTGTGGCGATGCTATAACAGTTGTAAGAGTGAAAACCAGTTGTAAGTCACTTTTTTCAGAGCCACTGTAACTCAAACAGTCACTAAATGAATGCTTATAAGTTGATGACTACCTGTAATTATTTCTTGAAAAGACATTGCTAAAATACATTTTTTTAAGAGAGAAGAATTAATCCATTTTCTGTGAAATGACTTCTAGGCTTCAATCTCATTTTTATAAGTCAGTTTTCTATTTCAGGAGCAGGCATATTTTTGGTTCTGTGTGGCACTATGTGATGTTAGCTATACTGACATTACAACTGGAAAGTAGTTTCAGATTTTTTCCCCCCTTTCCTTTTTAATTTAGAATTGTTTTTAAAAACTTTTATCAATGGACTAGGGCTAAGCTTTTTCATTTAATCTATTGGTTGGGAAACCATATCTTCATTATTTAATTGTTTTCTGACAATCCTATCAGTGTGCTATTGGGAAGTTCTATGGATGCACAGTTGCAGTATGTTTTGCATGAAGAATTATCAAAAGACAATTCTCATTTTGAAAATCATCTCTTTCCAAATCAAGTTTAAAATAAAAATCATAAACAAAGAAAACAGAAACTTTGAAGTTGCCAATCAGAAAATATTGTAGCATGATGTTTCATTATAATGGTGTATACTCTATTTTAGCATATTAACATATTTTCCTGTTCAGTCTTTTTAAAAAAAAAAAAATAGCTGAAATGTGAGCGGCCATTCTAGGAATACTTACCTTGGGTCTCTTCTTGGTTTTTTTCTAGAATGTGTACAATAAAGTAATTTGTCAAATTTTGGAATGGTAAATTTACTATGATTTGAATCAAACAAAACTGTAGGATTACCAGGCTACTATTCCATAGGCTTTCTCATTCATTATTGTCTACCCAACTTTAAAGCAATTAGCTCCTTTTGGCCACAGCTGGAGAGGAGAATGGACCAAAAGTGTAGCAAAGCAGTTTAGCACTTTGTTAAACAAAAGGAATGATCACTGTCCTAATCACTTGCAACTCTATAATCCCACTTTCTTTGACAACTGAATATTCTTATTTTTAACAAATAACAGCTTTATGTGCTACATCCAGCTAATTCCATAAATCATTAAATATTTTTTACCGTATGCGCAGCTGCAGAAAGAGGTGTACGCTGAACTGGTGTCCTCCTGTGGCTACGATTATCCCACAGCACAATTTGGCCGGAATAGGTTCCTCCAACAACTAGGTTTGGATGAAAGCGGGCAAAACAGACCGACATCACAGAAGACTAGAACAAATGAAAAAGTGTAGAAAATATGAAAAAAAAAATCTTAATTGTAAGTCTCTTTTGTTTCAGTTAGGAAAATGATCTGGATTTAATATCTGAGATGAACATTCCTTTGATGCTTCATTTATTGAAAATTTTCAAAAATTTTCAAAAATTATTCACATAATGGCACAAAGCATCCACATGTTTCCATACCCAAAAAGGACTATCTCCCTCCCAGATTGTCTTCCTTTCTTTGCTAATATCTGTGACAATTCGGCTGTGTTATTGCATCAAACGTATAAATTTGGGCCAAATGATAATATATAGCTAATTATTAATGAACATAAGTGGTTATTTTTATGGAAAATATATGAACCAATTCTACTGAATATTACAGAAGTAAAATTAAGTTAGAAAAAAGGCCCGTTCAGGTTGCTAGATCTTCAATGGCTTAGTCACACACCCAAACCATCATTGGATTCTGCAAATATCAAGTGGTGAACTGACATCTGTTGAGTTGACAAGAACTTAAATGACAGATAAGGTAGATAAAACCTCAAAGCTATCCATGGTAAACTACCTTAAGCAGAAGTTCTATTTTCTATGGACCAGTCCCATGAAGTAAAATAATCAGAAAGTACCACCCATTACCTTTAGATACCATTTTTATTCCATTAGAAGTTTCCTGTATTAAATAATTATTTACTATTTTATTATATACCATCATTAATCATTACTCAAATGCCAAATAATGTGTCAAAAAAGCAGTAGTTAGCATTATTTTCAAAGGGTATTCTTTGTCATGCAAAAGGTTGTAGAAATACTCAGCAGAGAGTCTTTAAGATTCAGCAGCAGCATATTCTGCCATCCCAAGTTTGCAAATTATAGCAAATCTAAAAACAAAAACCAGATATGAAATATATCTTTTTACACTGAAGTTAGGAAGAACTGTTTTAATCATATATATGTTTCATCTCTAATGACAAATCTTGCATGAAGTGACAATAAACAGATAATTTCAAATGTGATATCTGTAGTACATGATATATTTTATTTCCCTTCCCTTCACACACACACAGAAATACATACATAGATATATAAGCTATACTGAAGAAAATAGCAAGATTTTTCAAGAAATGTAAAGCATCTGTGATTTGTGTTGGTGCCTCCACAGGCCAGGTGTTAAATGATACAAGACCATATAACATACCCAATTTTCTGATGTATAAAGCTGGTAATCTCTGATCTGATGCACTGAATATGGAATGGAATATACAAAACCCTGAATAAAACCATGATTTGAAAAGGAACAAGCATCAGGTAATTATTTGTTGATCTAACACAATTAGCCCATGGAATTGGCTAATATGAACTGATTGCAGTATGATCTTTTGAAAAATAATAGAATTATTTTTACTTTTTAACAGTAGTTCATAAACTTCCCACTGGACTAAAATACTAGACTACACGGGATTGGTCCAGAATGACTGCTACTGTCAGCTTTTTTTATACTGCTACATATCACTGAGTTCAGAAGGAACAGATCTGAAGATTCTCATTTTGTACAAGCTGAGGCTGTGCTGTGCTGTTTTTATTTTGGATAATTAATGCAAACCAGATTTGGATTAGTGATGGCACATCTCTTTAACCACAGATGAACACACTCATAACAGATAACCATTTGCATTATCTTGGATAGGAAGTGCCCACATCTGACACACACATGGTGAGTGTGAACTGGCAGTTTATATCAGTGTTTTCATATGTAGGGATGGTTCTCTGCCAAAAAGAAGAGTGCTAAATAAAAATTATACTAATATAAAAAAGACTTGGGTTTGCATTTGCTGAAGTTCTTCAACAACGTTGATGTCATTTCCTTGGGTTATTTAGTGTGTGATGAAATACTATTTCATTTGAGAACTGTGGAAATAGGAAGAGTGTTGAGTCCTTCGCGGAAAGGTAAGACACGAGAAGCAGTTGTAGTTCTCAGTTTTCTTTATTCTGTGTTCAGCTTACAAGTAGATGGCTTCAGCAGCTCCCAAACCTCCCAGCTTCTTATATAGGCATTTCCCGGGTCAATGCGATACTTTTCCCGCGCCAGCACCCGCGCATGCGCACGGCGCTGGCGACAGCCTGTCTGGTCCCGGGCAGCTTTGCACCTGCCCGGGACTGCCTGCAAACACCCCGAGCCGTTTGCAAGGCTCGGGACATAACAAAGAGTACATAGAGAATAAATTTATCTCCCAATATTTCTCATTTCCAAATGTTGACTTATGAATTAGAATTGGGTGTTTCTAACATTCTCTCAGAAGAGCAATGAAAGCAAACAAATGGGTAGGAAATACAAAAGATTTCTGATACTGAAGAAGTCTGCTTGCCTGATGAATTGCAAACCTTTTTTTAATTCTGAACAGAGCATCTGCCCTACTTTTTCCATATATGTCCAGTTACTTCTTTTCTTCTCTCAACTCCATCTTGTTTGTTCTCCTCCTTTCCATTCTAATGAAGGGACCTAGAAATTTCTAAAAAAAACTAAGTATTTTTTCTTTTTTCTTTTATAAGGTCTAAAGTAGGTCCAAAAACAAACTTCAAAAATCATTTATCAGACCAGATTTTCTGGGCAGGTGGAAGGGCAGGGAAAAGCTGGACAACTGAAAGAAATCTAAATGAAACAAGTTTGTCAAATCTATTAAGTAAGAAATAAGTAATCATTCAAGTTATGTTTACCACTGAGATTAATTGATAACAACAGATATTAAGTCAACACAAAAAAAGCTGATAGAATAATAAAGATAATATAAAGCTTAGAAAGCCAGCAAAAAAATACCTCCTCTTAGTGCAGATTAAGTGCTGCACATATCCCAGTATCTAAATATCTCCAGGGAACACACTGAATAGATCTTCCTAGAAGTGGTATGTCAAAGTGGAATGATGTTTTGTAGAAAAAGAATTTCACTGGTAGCAACACTCACCTCTATATTAGTTATTTTAGAAACAATTATTGGAATTAAACTGAAGAACCCCCTCTCTTTTTTCCAAAACTTTACAAATATTACACATTAGAATAATAGAATACTACCAGAGAAATGACATAGTTCAGATTTTGCAGGTAATATTTTGATTTTACCTTATATTTACATATCCATACAATCATATAAGATCATTAGTTTGTTTCAAACATCTTGTCATGTGAAAAGGCAGGATTACAGCTAGATTTATTGGTACACCTCAAAATACATAGCAAATATCCTGTGAAATAAATTGTACTGAAAAGTCAATCTTTCTATAATCATCAAAAAGGAGACAATTTCATTTGATTCTAAATGGCATCACTACATAACAGGATTGACTAAAGTTTCTTTTTAAAAGAATTTACTATCCATGAGTGAAATACCAAAGTATTGACAAAAAGAGATAGATCATTTGCTTCACTAAAAATATCAACTTTTAAATAGTTAGGGAAGCATAATGCTGATTTTGGAGCTGGAAATTACTTGTGGTTTCAGAGGGAAAAATGAGATTTCCCCCAATAAAAACAATTCATAGATTTTGCATAGTTTTTTTGTATGTGTATGTACATATGCAAAAAAAGAGATAGAAAAGCAAACACTTCAAACCAAATGTCAAAATCCCATTTAATTAAAAAAAGGAAGTTTAGACTTTCATATGGCATGTGTTGACATCTATTCCTTTGATTTAAAAGGATATGGATTGGAGGGAGCAGATTGCTTTATTCAAGAAAAATAATATAGGAAAGCAGGACAATTTGACAGGAAAGAGTGTAGGCTGCCTTAACTTTAGTGCTTGTTAAAACATGAAGGATTAATGGTAAAAAGGGAGGGATGAATTGTGAATGTCTCCAGTAGAGGATCTTCAAAACTGTTTGGGGTTTCTAAGAATGTCTCATGCAACCACATGAAAAGAGAGCCAGCCATATAGCTCTCTAAATCCAAAACTGGTATTGCTCTACTCCTACCATCAAACTAACTGATTTGAAATAGAGCCACAAATTGAATTTATTTTTATTGAAAAAGTATTAAGTCTTTGAAAGAAAGAGAATGGTACATCAGGAAGTTCAGAGAATTCAGAGCAACATTCATAATGCAGGTATGCAGACATGCTGCCATTCAAAGATTTTGCTCTGCCAATGTCTGCCTTTTCTGAAGAACCATCATTCTGTTCACATGAAGCTCTCCAAAATGGGCTACCTTCATTATAAAGAAGGGAAAGAACAAATTTATCAAATTTGTTACATTAAATTTCAGAGATCTGAGTGGAAAGGATTTCTTACAATGGGACAAAGATTGGAAGACTGAAGTTTAGAGTATTTAAGAGTAATTTTGAAAATGGACAAGTCATAATTACAAAGAGTAGCCCAGTACATTGATTCTCTAAACTACCAAACAGAGGGGGTTGGGAAAAGCCCTCTCTCATATTATAAATTTACTCTTACGTCGCTGCAGACTATCTTCATCATATTTGAGGGAAGCAGGCAAAGAGGGAGGCTGGGTTAGATGTGTAATGTGTTTTCCATCTCTTTGTTGCTAATTTTTTGACAACTCCAGCATCTACTTCTGAGGTGACTACTCCCCTGATGGTAGAGCCTGACCAATCCAGCAACAATTTTTTTGGTCAAGGACTGGTCAGAGTACATCATCAGACACATCTTCCTTGCCATAAATTTACCTAACCACCATTTATAAACTTCAAGCATATTGAGGGCCTAGCAAGACTTAAAATATGGATCTTTCATTTCTGTTTCATTTATTTTATTTTTGGAGATTGCATCAAGGCCAGTTAGTATTATTTTGTAAGTGCAGACCCATATACAAGTCCAATAAATAAATAAACAAATGAACTTTAGCAAAAAATAACACGAACTATAGAACCAGAAAGTGTAACTTTAGGGTTATATTAGATTCAAGCTTTGTTTTTAATCGTGATAAGCAAGGAAATAGTAATTATACATATTTCTAAGGAATATGGCATTACTCTAAATATAAAACAAAATATACTTT